TAGTCCAAAATAATTCATTATTAAAAACAAAATCACTGAATAAATTAACATTAGGGAAGTTTCAACACAAAGTCGTGACCAATAATAAACGTATGGATTATACCAAACTATAATAAGTAAGTAAAATAAAATAAATTTATAAGTTTTTATTTATTAATGATTTAATGTTCAATATAAATTATGAAACTTACAAATTAATTATTTAGGGTAAAAATAGATAAACTAAACTTACCATTTTTACTTTCAGAAGTAAATATTTTAATATCGTTTGCTAAATTATTTGATATTATTATTATATGAATACATGTAGAAACCAATGTTGAAAAATAAATATAATATTGAACTTGTGTTAAAACAGATTTCGTTTCTTCTAATTCAATACAAGAATTATTTGATTGAAGATTTGAATGAAAGCATCCGTCAGTTGTGGAAATATTATGACTTAAATTTAAAATAATGAATAAATTTGTGGCAATAAATACGAGTAATTGTTTGCACAATGTTTTCCATTGGGATATATAATAGAAATAGAAAAATCTTGTCAAAAGTATGCAAATGTCGTACATTTTAAATTGCTTTTCATTTTTAATTGTTTGGGATTTCATTGTAACCATGTTTTGTGTATTAATATTATTTAAAATTGCTTTATTATAATCACATAATTGTCGATAAGTCTTACTGGAATTGTTTAAATCACATCCTAATTTAATCAATACTTCAATCGGTACTTGATTTTCATTACATTCAATGTGACAATCATTGAGATGTTGTCTCAAGTGTTGGGGAACTCCTAAATACAGACAAACGCCTCCTTTGGCCAACACATAGATGTTGTCAAACATATTAATCAAATCACTGTTTGGTTGATGTATACTAACGATGACAGATATGTTGTAATTTCTTGACAATTGCTTTAAACATTGTATTAACTAAAATAGAAATAATGTTATTTTATAGATAAATAAATAATATTGTGAATTAAGACATACAATGAGTGCTGAGTGTGTGTCGAGTCCAGTAGTCGGCTCATCGATGAACAGTAGGTATGGTTTCTCAATGGATGTCAACTCTAATGCAATGCAAATGCGTTTCATTTGTCCAGAACTACACCTCTCTATCCGATTATCTTTAATATCATTAATCATTAATTCTTGCATTAAATTCAAGACATTCTTCTTGTGATTGACTTCAAAACCACTTTCTTTTGCACTGTTTTTCAATTTTGAAGAATAAGTCAACGCCTGACCAACTGTTAGACCAGTCATTACGCGTTGACTTTGGTTTTGATACACAAAACATTTGCTCACATTTTGCTCTTTATTCACATATATTGTCGACGATTGAGTCAAACAGTATTTATTGCTTGCATTCAAACACTTTAAAAGAGTTGATTTCCCGGAACCCGAAGAACCCATCAATGCGTTCAACGATCGGCTCATAAACGCACCCGAAATGCCGTTTAATATCCTCTTCTCTTTGCCAAACACTGACGACCGGACGCTTACCGTTAGGTCTGTCCATCCAATTGCTGTCTCCGAAGTCATCCTTTACTCTAAAGAACTTAATTCCAAATCACTTTCACTGCAACTGAAGTATATCTAAAAAATGATAACATTTTAAGTGTCTTTTAGTTAAAACTTTTACAAGAGATAAGAAATTAAGGGCAGAGAACCTAAACATTAATTAACTTTCTTTGACATTGAATATATAATACTCTCACGTTTTATAATGCAATAAATTTCTTATATTTTTTACCTCAATGTGATTAAAATTCTAGTCTCTATACGTTTTTTAGTTTCTAAAAATATATTCTTTAATGATATAAAATGTAATAGTTATGGGGTTAAAGAGGTTGACATTGATTAATATTTCATGAAGAAAAATGGTGACAATTTTAAAGTTTCCACGTTGGAGTATTTCAAATTTTAAAATATTTCATATAATATTGTCAAATTTTGTATTGCTGAAATTGATCTTAACTTATTGCATTGCACTGTAAACCTTGTTTAACATTATTATCTCATGTTGTATTTAATAATCAAAAATTAGTGTCATTGTCAACAAATACATGAACGAGGGATACCCTGGTATATTCCCACACATTATCGTGTAATACATTATTTTTGTGGTCAAATTCTACTTTACGTACAATAAAAATTGTTTAATAATTAAAAAATTATTGTGTTTAACCTGAAGGATGATTGTAATAATTATTATTTTAATCTAATAATCTTGATCATTTAACAAAGTTCTATGTTTTAAATACAACTCATGGCAATTAGTAAAATCTCTGCTCATTGCCAAGACATTGCTCATTGAAGTCAACAAAACTGATAATCTGTTTGATAATAGTTTTAGATAATTTTTGTATAAATATAATGCCTAATATAAAAGTATTAAAAATTTTATAATCTAATTTATTAATCATTGATCATTTGTGTCTTCTGATTAAATTAATAAACTAAAAATGTAGCAACAACCAATTTCAATTATACCAGATTTTATAACAGGTATTCAAGTAAAAATACCAATAATATATAATTGTATAAGATATTTTTTAATATTATATATTAGCTCAAAGCTGTTATCCTTTTAGCAATAATAATTATTAAAATTCGCTAATATATTATAAAAAATATAACAATTAAAGAAAGTAGTGTAAAATTGACATTAAATACAAATGTATACTCAAATCCTTTAAAAGCCATTAAAACAGTTTTAAATGAGTCTATCATTTTGAAGCGCATAAAGTTCTATCATTTCTAACTTTACGTGAAGGTCGTGTCCATTCATTTGTTCACAGATTCTTTAATTTATTAAATACCAGTATATATACTGTATAACACTTTATAAAAGAGAATTCACTAAAACATGTTTGCAGTTTAAACTCTAAACTTTAGATCAATGTCTTTTGTGGAGATTTTATTTATGTAATATTATAATAAAAATGTTAATTTTTTATAAGATTTTATTTTATTTATGAGAGAGAGAGAGAGAGAGAGAGAGAGAGAGTCGAGACCCCTTAAGGAATATAATTTAGACATAAATTCCCAAAATCTTTATTGGCTTTATTTCAATTGGTATTTACGTTACTATTTATTCCTTATTTGCCTAAATTTAATTGTATTTACTGTGAAAACTAAGAACCTTTCAGTTGATTTCAGGAAATTAATTTTGAAATTTAAATATAATCAAATTAAAAATAAATTGCCCGAGATCTATTATAACAGCGCTATTGAGATTAATAATAATACAACTATTATAAACACTAATTGTATAAAACAATTGATTAACAAACCAATGATAGTGTGGAAACGTTTATCGTATGCCATAGAAAATGGAGTTTTTAATAAAACAGAGAATTTAATCATTTTGGATAATATTAACGGAGAATTTGTTTGCAATTCATTAAACGCATTGATGGGACCGTCGGGTGCGGGAAAGACAACACTTTTAAAGTGTTTAAACGGACAAAATATAAATGGTTTAAGTAATAAAACTAATATTTATGTGAAATATGGAAGATTTCGGACTTGTTTCATCCAATCGGATGTTTGTGAACACTTGTTATCGGGACTGACTGTAAGACAAACTCTATTATACGCGTCGAAACTTAAGAACTCAAGAATTATGGATCAATTAAATGACAATAAAATAGTGGAAGAATTGATGTCAGATCTGATGATCAGCGATACGGCAGACAATAGGGTCGAGTCGTGTAGTGGAGGCGAACAAAAACGTATAGTAATTGCCTGTGAATTGACTTCTCATATAAAGCCTAATATGTTATGTATTGACGAACCGACGAGTGGTTTGGATAGCAATGCCGCAGAAGTGGTNAAATTGGAATAGGTTTTTTCGTATAAATTTATAAAATTTATATCATCTTTATTTTCTGAACAGATTTTTAGCAATTCTTCGATTGGGGTTTCGTTTTCACCTAATTTTATATTACATTCATTAAGATGTTGTCTCAAGTGGTCAGTCTTTGTATCTGTTATATAATACTTGATTTTTATTATTAACTTTTTTTCAGGTAATAAACTGTTTAAAAGCATTGTCCCGAAGACATGAGATGACAATCATTGCATCCATACATCAACCAAACAATGATTTGTTTAATATGTTTGACAACATCTATGTGTTGGCCAAAGGAGGGGTTTGTCTGTATTCAGGAGTTCCCCAACACTTGAGACAACATCTTAATGAATGTAATATAAAATTAGGTGAAAACGAAACCCCAATCGAAGAATTGCTAAAAATCTGTTCAGAAAATAAAGATGATATAAATTTTATAAATTTATACGAAAAAACCTATTCCAATTTAAATAAAAAAATTGTGAATAAAGACATGCGATTACAAAATGATAAACATAACATATCAAAGAGATTTAGTTTTGTTGACTTTTACTGTCTACTAAAGAGGACAATGTTCTACAATTATAGATGCAATTGCATTGTATTTATATTACAGATATTTGCCTTCATATACATGGGAGCGATGTTTCGGACAAAGTTTAACCCATTGATGATAATACCCGACGGCTGTATAGACATTGATTTTGGGAGCGCTTGTAATCAAACATATAATGATTTGTCAAATGAGTCTTTACTTAAAGAAAACATCAAATACAACGCCTGTATTCTGTATGTGATTCCGTGTATTGTAATGGTTATTATATCGGTTTCATTTGGGACCGAATATAATATATTTAGAAACGAACACATCAATGGTATGTCATTATCATTTATTTTGTATCCAGTTTGTATGCATTATATTTTTGTAATTGAACTTGAGTGTGTATTTACTGATTGTTTAAATGTAGGATGGTATAGCACGGGATCGTTTATGTTGTCCAAGACCATTTGTGATTTGTCACCGATCGTCATAACTCTGTCCATTTACTGCCTGATAATCAATTTTTACTCTTCATTTGCCATTTATTTGACATATTTTATAATCTTTTTATTAGTGATAGTCTGCTGTCAAAGTATGGCCCAAATGTCTGCCATTATATTTTCGACAGACATTAAGTTAGCGGTCGTCCTCTCGATTGCAATTCTCACTTTGAATGCAATTTTGGGAAATTGTTTTATACTCTCCAATGAATTGCATTATTCCTTACAGATGTTAAGCCAGTATTCGTTTATAAAGTTAGCGTTTGAATGCATTCTTATAATATTGTATGGGTTTGACAGATGCCAGCATGGGCAATTGTCTACTGTTCTCTATCACTTTGGTATTGAGACAAATCAATTTTGGTATAATATAAATAGATTGATCATTATAACTTTAAGTGCTAAATTCATGTTATTTTTGTTTCTTATTGTTATTACAAATTGTAAATTTGATACAAAACATAGAAATAAGAATCAAAAATCAAAGATAAATTATGTTAATTATTATTATTAACATATCAAATTGTAAATAAGTCCAGTAACGGATTAAAATAATGTTTATTGAAATTCATATTTGATATTACATTTTGTATTTGAATTTTCATTATTAATTAATTTATTTTATACGATAATAATGTTACTTAAGGCAAAACTATTTTTCAATTATAACAAGATTTGATTTATAATAAAAATAATAAATAATGATCATGATTTAAAATAATTAGACATGATTTATTTTTGATTTTAGTTACTTATGTAAATTTATTTGTATGACAGTATAGTACAGTATATCATAAATTCAAATTAGTTCCTGATGTGCTCTTAAGCACCAAAAGGGCATAATAACAGACCACTTGTCATTTCTTTTAAATTATATAACAACTATTAATAATATTACAAAACCTTATTTTATATTATTATTTTTATTTAGATATTGAATGTCAAAATCAATTTTGAAAATTTTAATTATTTGCATTTGAAATGAATATTAAAATGTTGCAACAAATAACTCTTTGAATCAATTGAAGGCCAGACATATTGAGTATATTTTATTTAAAATTAAAGAAGTGGAGCTTTATATATTAGTGGCTGTGCTGGTCGGGCCACTATTTGATATGTCAATCATTCACATACAAATGGTATTAATTGGTGACCCAACCAACACAGCCACCAATATATAAAGGGATGGCTTCTTAGAAATTAATATTTAATATTAGTATTATTTTGTTATTTGCATTTAATGTCTTTATATCTATAATTATAATTAATTAACAATATATTTAGTTAATAACATTACATTTATGATAGCCTTAAGATATATGAAATGAATATGAAGAACTTAAACGTTAAGGTAATAAATTAAAATGTTTACTTTTATTTAAAAATTACAATATTTCGTATTAAGGAAACAGGTATTTTATAAATAAATATATAATTGTTTTATTAATATAATTATTGACAATTATACGTTAAACATAATTTCAATATTTGCGACAAATATGTTTTCATTAAAAATTTCCAAATAAGAAAACAATTAAAAAATTATTGACTTTGTTTTACTGTAATCTATTTCTTAATTGAGAAAACCCAATGCGTAGGCAATGAAAATGTTTTTCCAATTAAAAGCATCATCATTTTAAAATTATTTAGTTTTAGTAATAAATAATATACTTGTATTCTTTTTTAAAAAATTATAACATTAATTGAATGTAAATGTGAATAATTGTACTTTTTTGTCAACAATTAAATTTATCATGAAAATAAAATGATTTGAATTCTGAAGTCATGGTAATTAAGTGGTAGAATTTAAATACTTGATAGAATTTAGATTAATACAAATGTAAAGAGAGTGCCTTGTCGGAATAAAATTGAAATAAAATCATATTTAAACCACTGATGCAAACGGTATATAAAGTTGTGATAATATATCCATTAAGCACAAGAGGGTTCTCATACGTCCAGCCCCTCAACATTACTGCCCGCAAAGCCTCCAGTGGTTGAGTGATTGGACTTAAGTCTGAGAGATATCGGAAATAATAGGGAATTGACTGTATGGGCCAAATCACACCAGACACTATCCATATGGGCAGCATTAGACCAGTCAACCCAATCTGTATAATGTTAATAGACATATAATATTAATAGTAAATTATATACATAAATTATAATAAGTAATACTTAAAATTATAAAAAATTAAATGATCAACGTAATAAATAAAAAATACATATATTTACCCCGACTGAAACTTCATCAGAAAGAAGAAGTGCTACTAATAAGCCGATAGCCATCCCTTGTAGGCCTTGTAATAGGAAAAAGAGGTAAACCTCAACATAACTGCCCAATTGCTCCATATTTAATGCTATAAACGCAATCGCCATCGAAAAAAGCACTTGTGTTGTAATGAGAGTAACATTTTCGATAGTATGTGAGATAAAGAACTCCATGGGTTTAACTCCAGCCACCAATACTCTCTCCATACTGGAGTTCTTCCTATCAGTAATGATTTGCATGGCTGACACAATCATGGGTAGTAAATGTGCTAGGGCCATCATCAAACCAGGAGTTAGAAATACATTCAAGTTTAAGTCGGTAGACCCGTAAATAGCCGGCTCGATAGTGACCGGGAAAAAGTATCGGTACAGATTTTGACCATATGTGGGACCCAAATGTTTTAGAAATATTTCAAAAGCTCTCAATAGACTATTATAGACATTATTGCCAACAATACTATCAGAGAAGTCCGCGTAGACTTTCACTTGACTCGCGTCTAATTCCTCGTCAGTCATGTCGTAGAGGTCTGTCAATCGGAGTGCAAATGTTTGAGAAAAGTTTTGCTTAAATATGAGGGCTAATGTATTGATGCCATCCCTCACACTATTCACAGCCGTCTCATTGTCTCCATATTCGTGAAGACTTAAATAATAGGGTTCTATGGAATCGAGAAAGAGTTGCGACAGTTTGGCGTTTGGGTCGGCGTTATAATAGGCAACGGGAATGTGATGTGGTTTACGGCCTATGGATAACTTCATTGATGTCAACGCTATT